ACTGGCGGAGGAGGGTTGGAGCCTCGAGCTGCTGCGAGACCTGCAGCCCGGGTCACCGGCAGTTTCCTCCCTGCAGGAGAAGAGCGGGTGCTTGGAGAATGCATGGCAGGGGCTGCCCTACGTCCTGGCCTGGTAGGTGCCAGCCACCAGCCCCGGCCCCCTCTCCACCCCGAGCAGGGCTGCGGCACAGCGCCTGCCCTCCTGGCTCTGCCCGGGACCAGACAGACACGCTCACCTCCGCCTCTCCCTGCAAGGCTGGTGCCAGCGCTCACACTCCTGGGACAGCTGATCGCTCATGGCACCTCACTTACCAACATCGCGCCGAGACCCATCGAGCCCGTGGTGCCGTGGAAAGGAAACCGCTCCCACGAGACCTACAGCCTTTACTGCTCCAGGTACACCGCCGTCCTGCCACCCTGACCCCAGGAGCGAGCTGGGGGTGGGCACCCCCCTCCCTTCCCAATGGGCTTGGGCATGCCGCAGCCTCTGCAAGGGACACCTCTGTGTGGTGAAGGCTTTGGGGTGGTCGAAGAGATCAAAAAATGCCCCAGGGACGATGCTGGGACCACCACCAGCATCCTCTGTCCTTTCAGCTGCCTGCTCCTCATCCACCGTGCCCAGGATAACTGCTACAAGGTGAGCACTGCTGGGTGCCCGTCCTCCACCGTTCCCTTTCCCTGTCTAGCAGACACCGCTGCGCAGCGCTGCCAAGGGCGCGTGGGCTTAGAAGGACACTGGGAAGGCAGCAGGTCCGTGGTGCAAGGGCAGATGCTGCCAGAGGAACAGGGCAGGGGTGTCCCTGCTCAAGCAGAGGCAGAGGGGCAGCGCCCAGCTCCGGCAGTGCCCTGGCGCTGGCTGCTCCCATGCCGTGGGGCTTGTGGCACGGCTCAGCCCTGCCCCTGTGGAAGGAGCCGCTTGGGGCAGGGCTGGCCCATGGCCCTGCTGATTTCCCATTGCCTCTCAGTACATAGGTAGGAAGGACGTGGGCCTGGAGGGGAAAATCATCTTCTTCTTGTACCTGCTGCTGGTGCTCAGCTGCTGCACGGTAAGCCAGCGGCACAGCGCAGTGCAGCGGGGCGAGCACAGGGTCCGGCTGCAGCAGCCAGCGCGCCCCGGCTGACGCCGCTCCCCGCCGCCCCGCTCCTGTATCGCAGGGGGAAGCTCTGGTGCCCGAGGAA